CTACACGAAAACAAATAAGACAACAAAAATTGTTTTTTTGCCCTCAGCCGAACCGAACGAAAAATATGAAATAATAAAATATCGGGTCGCGTTTTTTTTTTAATAGGCCCAAAAGTGAGTAAGTAAAAACTCACCATTTTAAGCAGTAAAAGTGTTTCCTCTAAAAATTAACGATCCCGGATGTTATGTTTAGTAATTGACAAAAACACTGTCTCTATCTACTACTTCTAAGAACTGATTCAACCCCAAATAACTATAAGTAAACAAGGTCACATAATTTGCATAATGAGGACTTCCTGTGTGTATAGGGTCAATTGCCATATGTTCATAATTAACATGCTTTGTTGATTACATATCATGACACCGGACCATTGTTTGATCCCCAGGGTTCCCAGGGGGATAAGTGGCGACTTTGAACCTCGGGTTGATCTGTATTTCTCTGACATGTTCCGAATACTATGAACTATGAAGTCTGAAGAGCAAACACGTCTTTTGCATTTCAGGCCAATTTGACATTTGCGATTCGAAGGATAGTTGGTGCACAATATTAAAAATATCGCCGCACCAAGTATTTTCTTAATTATATAAAAACATTATTGACAAAAACAATACGTTTGTTGTAGTAAATATTATTTTTAATAAATGAAATGCACAAATTTTTAATTGAATTTACAAAACTTGACATTTTATATTAAAACTCTCACCCGCTTACATCACAAACAAAACGACGGCTTTTGCACGTTTTAGCGCTGTCAGTATCGCAGTAATGCCATCGTGTGTACGTACCAGTGGCGGATCTGGGGGGGGGGGGTCGGGGATACACACACCCCCGTTGACAAAATTAAGTTAAAAAAAAAAATCCGACCGATCGACCCAATTTTTCAATTTTCCGACTTGAGGGCAACATAGGTTTTTTTGGGGGGAACTAACGGGTCAATACTTGATTGTGCTCGTTTGCCTGGGAGCAATACTAAAACCGATTAATAACATACAGTATTGAACATGACCAACTCAGATCAGGTCAATCGATGACTATACTTCCAGGTTTTTGTCATTTACTTATTTTCGACAGACCTATTCTCGTGATGTCGAACTTGAAAATGCACTGTATATTTTGTGTCGTCGTCTACCAGAAAAACGGTCTGCGTCAACTTGAAAATGCAATGTGCGTCGTCGTCTACTAGAAAAAATGCGTCTGCGTCAACTTGAGAATGAAAAATGCAAAGTCTACTAGGGGGACTCGTTTTGCGTCGACAACTTGAAAAGTGCAAGTTGCGTCGTCTACTAG